TTAATCAGAAACCATTCGGAAAGTTCTATATAAGATATCGCATTATAAGATATCGGGTGTATTTTATATGATATGTCATGAACTGTACAGAATATTTCATACTGAATATACGTAAGACATTTAATTTTGATAATAAGCCCATAGAACGCAACAAAAGTATCTACTTTGCTAATATATCATGCAGACCTACTTGTGTGTATATATACATACACATGTTGATTTAAATTGTTAGGTACTTTGTAACGGTGATTAGATTGATCGCTGGGGTCGTATACACTTCCCAAAGCGTCATGTCATTGTTTATTCAGTGCTACCTATAGATATCGTCCTCGACATTGTGTACCTGACGTAATACACACCGTTCTGATTAAACAAGAACCCGTCTTTCATCACATTTGAATAATCTATCATGGTCTGGCCACAACTGTCAAGCTGACACCCTTACTTTAAATACAATATAAACCCCACTAATCTGAAAATATCTTCAACTATCGATTGACCAGAATACGAATCGGAGTAAATAAGGTGTACATCTGTAGTAAACGCGAGCAAAGGTATGTACACAGGGAGTACTAACCATGCTTGTCTATGTAATAACACCGGCGTCTTCGTCGATCATATAAAGAATATCTATGTTAACAACTTTCAAATGCCTACCGATGTTCATTAATAGAAGTACAAGTTTTCCCATCAGATAAATAATAAATAAGAATACCAATAAGATAGGACCTGCTGGTAAATATTTTTATCTCACATAACATATAATCCGATATGTATTTACACTTAAATACACAGATATTAATTTGTATACGTGTACAATGTTTCCAGTGTTTGTGTGTCTGTCATGTCCTACATACATTGAAACTCCTATTCACATGAAGATTAACGAGTACAGGTTCAGTGTTTACGACCTGGTAACGATCTCCTATTGATACTACCCGAGTAGACCCACCGGGTAATCATCCTGGCGAGAATACTACCTAGTCATATGTAATCACCGGTTCGGTAACATCTGAAGGTCTCTACTAGAATAAGTAAATATATATGTTTGATACGTACGATGCACATTGTTTGGGTGACAGAATCGTGTGATAAACTTAACACTTCTAACATATTTAACAGTAGGTCTTTTGGTGGTCGGGGAGTCCACCACTGAAAGTTTGTTTTCTGTATCGGTAGGTCCCAATGCTTTCAGAGATTTGCTGGACGATGATAGTTTATTTTCTGTAGTAGTGTGTCCCCATGCGTTCAGAGATATGTTGATCGGTTAACAATTATTTTCAGTATGTCCCCATGCTTTTAGAAGTATGTCGCTCAATGAGAATTTGTTTTCCAGTAGCGGTATGTTTTGGGACTGTGTATGCAAGTGTAGAGTTTGTTTTCAGTATAAGAATGTCCTCATGCTTCGAAAGATGTATTTGTCAAAGAAAGCTCATTTTAAGGAACAGTATGTTCCCACGCTTCCAGGGGTATGTTGACGAGTTAGAGTGTGTTTTCAGTATAAGTATGTTCCCACGCCTCCAGGGGTATGTTTTTTTTTCATTTCAGAATATTTATTGTTCAGATCTTAGATACAAAGGAATTGGCAACAGGCAAAGCCTATGAGCGCCCTCTCCTTACAGTTATAAGCAGTTTACACACATCATATTGAATTGAAGTAATGATAAAACATGCATATTATGTACATGGATATTGATATTTGCATGTCATTATTAATTTTTTTTGGTAATGGTTGTACAAAAACTAGATTTAACAAAAAATGGCAATTGAAATTATGCTGGTGGACAGCACATAGTACAATTATGTACTGGTATCATTCCATACAGCAAAGTCATGTGAAGAAAGATAAACAAGTAAGTATAATCTAGTTAAAGCGTCTTGTATCTTTAACGAATCTCTGAACCATCTCCAAGATACTTATATTATTATAAGTATGTCCCCATGTTTTCCGAAGTATGTTGACCAGTAGGAGTGTGTTTTCAGTTAAGCATGTCCCCATGTTTTCTGAAGTATGTTGAGGAGTTAGAGTGTGTTTACAGTATAAGTATGTCCCCATGTTTTCCGAAGTATGTTGACCAGTAGGAGTGTGTTTTCAGTATAAGTATGTCCCCATGTTTTCAGAAGTATGTTGACCAGTAGGAGTGTGTTTTCAGTATAAGTATGTCCCCATGTTTTCCGAAGTATGTTGACCAGTAGGAGTGTGTTTTCAGTATAAGTATGTCCCCATGTTTTC